CAAAGCATGGTATGAACCTAAAACTACCCGAACATAAGCATGAAAAGTAGCTATGTACGTACTCTCATCACCTCGTGCGTAAGTAGCCCCCACAAATAGTAGCACATATTAATTTAGTTCACTTATGGAGTGAATTCCCTCTTACAGGGTTAGAAAAGAAACTTACCTCGTCTCAAAGCCTATTTTCCGGTCCCAAGTTGTGCTCAAACCCTCAATTCGATGTTGAACAATCCAAAACTAATCAAATGGTATATAAATTAATCAATATATGTTCAGAAGTTCATATTCCAACTATTGTAGTGATTACCCAACCCTAAATGCAAGATTCCTAAAATTCACCCTCGGGCCCACATGCCCGAATTCCAGAAATTTTTGAAAAAAGTTGTTACCTATAACCTCATGAACTCAAATATATGATTTTCACTAAATTTCATAACCAATTTTGTGGTTAAAATCTCATTTTTATAAAAAAAACTAGGTTTTCCGTCTAACCCATAAGTTCCACAAATTCACATGTTAAAATCTACCCATAATCTACATATTAAACTCACATTAGGTAGAAATTACCTACCCTTAATAGCTAGGTTGAAATTCCACTTTTTGAAGCTCCAAAATCGCCCAAGTGTGCAATAAATGAACCCAAAATTGGCTAAGTCACGATTATTAAAACTCTCTGCCCAGCTGCCTCATTCTTCGCGAACGTAGAAAAGGCCTCGCGTTCGCGAAGGCAATGGAAGAGGCCCAGAAATCTTTTACCCATCGCGAACGCGATAGGAGCCTCGTTAATGCGGAGGCTCGCTTGGCCTACCCTACGCGAACATGAAGAATGACCAACGGCCAGGCAACTCAGCCTTCTTTACGCAAACGTGGGCCAGGTCACACGAACGCGAAGGCTAGAGGATCCATACCTCCGCGAACACAGTCCATCTCATGCGAACGCGAAGGGCAAAAGCCCCAGGCCACAATACCTCAAATCCTTCATCGCGAACGCGAAAGTCTGACCGTGTTCGTGAAGAAGGAAACAAGAAACAACAAATTTGGTGTGTTTCAACTCAACTCCGGGCGGTCTGAAACGCACCCGAGCCCCTCGGGACCTCATCTATCTACTCCAATAAACATAATACAGACTTGCTTGAACTCTTGAAACGCTTAAAACAACAATAAAACCAAGAATCACACCCCAAAACCAAATCGAATCAAAATATGAACTTCAAGTTTTCAAATTGCTCCGAGCACGCCAAATCATACTTAGACTACTCGGAATGACGCTAAATTTTGCATGCAAGTCTTAAACAATATTACGAAACTATTCCCGATCTCAAAATTCCAATTAGACCTTGATATCACCAAAACCTACTCTAAAACAAATTTAAAGAACTTAAAAACCTTCAAAGAAACATTTTTCACTATTAGGCGCCAAAACTCTTCCGGTATTCAAACCCGATCCGAACATACGCCAAAGTCCGAAACCATCATATGAACCTACTGGAATCGTCAAATCCTGATTCCGAGGTCGTTTGCTCAAAATGATGACCGAAGTCAAACTTGACCTTTTTAGCCAACCTTAAGGACAAACTTGTTATTTAGTACTTGATAAATATAACTGTTGAATCGTCCCCTTTTATTGAAAGATCTTAGATTCAAGTCTTGAGTCAATTGTATTATGACAAATTTCTCACTTTCAACATTGAAAACAATATGCACATTAGCTATGGAGCCTCAACTCCGGGTATAAAAATTGTGGCTAATACAGTCAGATCTTTTTATGATAACATTCCTATATAACAGTCATTCATTATAAAAGTCAAGTTTTATTTCGAATCGATTTTTAAGTTATATTTTACCTTTTTGTAATAGCTTTTTGCCTATAATAACAACAACAACAATATACCCAGTATTATCCCACAATATGGGATTTGGGGAAGATAGTGTGTACGCATACTTTACCTCTACCTTGTGAGGATAGAGAGGCTATTTCCAATAGACCTTCGGTTCAAGAAAACATAAGCACCACATTAATGAAAATATAGATAAGAAGGAACAATACCAAAAAGCCATATAAAAGCAGAATAAAAATAACAAGACAATAAGCTGATCAACAGTGAAAGAAAACAACGGTTAGTCATAAAAACCTACTACCAATAAAAAATGAGACTGCGTGCCAATACTACTGTTATGAACACTCTAGACTACCTACTCTACTACCCTAATCCTCGACCTCCATACCTTTCTATCAAGGATCATGTCCTCGGTCAGCTGAAGTTGCGCCATGTCTTGCCTAATCACCTCTTCCCACCTCTTCCTTGGCCTACCTCTACCTCTCCATAGGCCCTCCAATGTCAACCTCTCACACCTCCTCACTGGGGCATCCATGCTCCTCTTCTTCACATGACCAAACCGCCTAAGCCGCGCTTCCCGCATCTTGTCCTCAATAGGGGTCACACTCACCTTGTCGCGAATAACCTCATGTTTGATCCTATCTAACCTGGTGTGTACGCACATCCATCTCAACATCCTCATCTCTACTACCTTCATCTGTTGAAAACATATTTATAGCATAACGTTCTTTGTATAATTACCCCCATTACAGTCATATAGAATCTTTAAGATCATTGCTAATAATTTTATAAAGATGCACACAAGCTTTTCTGTTAAACAAAGTTTCTATCTAGCGTAATATATAAGATTTGAAGATTTGCACATGATATCTTTTTCATTGGACAAATTTCAAAAAAAAAAATAGATAGAAAATGTAGTTGTTAATCTCTTAGATTATCTTTAAGGGAAAGTTATTGGATACCTTTTTCTTGAAAATATGGACATGAATCTTCGCCAATTCAAGCGTTATTGTAGACAATAAATTGCGTCAAGAAAATAAAATCAAGACCGAAAAATATTGCAACAATCGTAGTATTTGATTTCGAATATTTGAGTATTACAATCTCTATGAATCCTCTGATTCTTCTTTTCAACAGTAAATAAAAGAGTCTTCGAGCTTGATCTTGAATTATATTTTATTTTAATCCAAGTGCTTGAGGCCTGATCTTGATCTTGGCGTATTTTTAATCTAAGGGCTTGCAGCTTGTTCTTGAATATTCGTCTTGATCTTTTAATCGTTAGAACACTTGAATGCTTGTAGCTTTTAGAGAGATCTGCAGCGTTTGATCCACGAGCTCCCTCTTGCTTCTTGTTATAACTTCTGGTGACTTTTTGAGTTATGAAGACCCCTATTTATAGTTGTGGGAGGAAAGAGTTACGATAAGAACAAACTCTTTTCGACCAATCAAATTGAAGTGTGACAAGGTCGCATTTGATTGGCCAGGACATGTCACTTGCATACGTGGTACAATTTCATTGGTCTTTTAATTTGATTTGGCATGCCTTGTCATTTTGACACGTGACACGTTCCTATTGTCTCTTCCATTTGACTTGGTGCGCCACGTCATTTGACACGTGGCACCAAACTCGGCCTCTAGGAAGATATCATATTGGGCTTAATGAAGTGGGCTCATCACCTTAGTCCAATTAAATGGGCTAGCTCAATGTATTAAGACTTATTTATTTAATCCATATATATTGGACCTATATAATTAATCCAATTATATTAGCCCATAATATTTATTCGAACTAATATATTTAACATATAGTCCAAATACTTTTATTGAATTTAAATCCAATAAAATTTAAATGCTTACAGTTATACTAGTAAGAGAATGGAATCTACGAAACAAGGTACAATTACAAAGTCCTTCCACCTTAATCTTGAAAGATTTATTTTTTCAGGTAGCTATAAAATGTATGCCTTAGAGTTTAAATATGTATAGGTTTAGTTACGAATTCATTAGTAATGTATTAGCTTTCTTCAATATTTAACTAGTGAAATATGCATATCTTTTGAGATTTTAAATTTGAATAGTTTTATTATCTTTTATATGTAACATTAAGAAAGAAAAAATAATTGATTTTTGGATAATTTTTTCCTATAACACCCAAAAAAATGTAAGTGTCAAATCTTGTTATAGGTGCATAATAGCCATTCACTATACAAAATAAAAAAATATCAAAAAAACGAGACTGTTACAAAGGGTTGATTGTATCTAACTGTAACAAAACAAAAAAAAAACGTTGCGGCTATTTACAATAATTTGTCCACAAAAGTTAAAAGAGGGCAAAGTGAGCATGAATAATTATAGTCTATTTGGCCAAGCTAGAAAAATTCGCTTGTTTAGAGAATTATTTTTAAAAAAGTACTTCTCGAAAAAATACTTACGGAGAAAAGCATTATGTTTGTCTATTCTTCTAAAATCAGCTTATTTTAGAAAAATATTTTCCAAAAAAGTATTTCAGTGAGAACCAATTGTTTTTCGCTAATTAATTTTGAAAAACACTTTTGAGAAGTAATTAATTTTTGGTCAAGCTTTTAAAAAGTATTTTTAAGTATATTTTTCTCAAAAGTGCTTTTCAAAGAAATATTTTTGAGAAAAAAAAATACTTTTTTCTGCTTTTGCTCACATCAAAAGTATTTTACTTTTTTTTTCTAAAAACTTGCCCAAACCCTTACCGTTAAAAAAATTATTTTTGGCCAAAAGGAAAAAAAAATCTCGACCAAACAAGCTATAATACATGAATTTCACCTCTCTTTTTTTTGACCCGTTTCATCTTCCGAAACAAAATAAAGTTTCTATTAAAACTAAAATTTCATTTAGCCTCACATTTATACGCTCGGTGGAATAAAACGTGAAAAGGTTACGAGAAAGAGAAACCTCGTTTCTGGATGCTTCTAAACTTACTACTATAAATATCAACTACTCCCCTGAACCCTTTGCATTTCCAATTCTGACAACCCAAGTTAATATCATTCTGCTCAGTGCTCAAATTTTAAGGTCGATCTTAAGCAAACAAATCCTAATCCAAGCTCAATCAGTTAAACCCCCTTCTCATTTACACGGTTCTGTTAGGGTGTAATTCGGTGATTTTTTTTTCCTCTAAAATTNAGCTCTCGTATTATTTTTTAGCCCATTCTTTCATATTGTTTGCCTAGAATTGGGTAAGAGTCTGAAGATAGAACTTTTTTTGGGGCAAGCTCTTATTTTTTCTTTTGGCGCTTATTCATGTACAAGTTTATTTATCCTTTGTTAGATTGCCTAGAAATTGGGGGAAGGATCTAAAAATAGAGCCTTTTTTAAAGTGTAATCTCTCGTACTATTAATTGACCATGAATATGATTCTTTTGACATTCATGCATATTTTTGTTTAAGTTACTAAAATATCAGTGAATATTAAATTCTGAATCCACAGTTTAGAAGGTACGATTGAATTCGGTGCTAAGAACTTTAAAGGTTGAATCATCTAGTTTAAATTTTCAATATGCGTAAACTTGAGATTTTATCTTCAGCTTTGGGGTCCAAAGACTAGATTTTTTTTCCTTTTTGGTTCGACGTTGCCATACTTTAATTCGATCCCTACCTGTTTTGACCTTAACTTAAGCTAATGCGGGAACCAGAGAGATAGAGATGGTGAAAGGGCTCAAGCCAGGGAAAATCACAAATCCAAGCAACCTAAGAATGACGGATTGACCCCTGAACAAAGACGAGAAAGGTTCCTCCTCCGCCAATTTTCTGCAAAATAAGTCTCGTGTTTTAGGGCGATTAGTTCTTGTTCCTAACACGGATGTTGTGTTTAATATCTCAACAGGGATGCAAAGGCACTTCAAGAAAAGGCGGCAAGGAAGGCAGCACAGGCGGCTGGTGGAGGGAATTTTGAGAAATCGGAAAGTTATAAGATCAAGAACAAATTGTAGGGAGGTTGTTTAATTGGAAGGAAATTAATCTTGTGGGTGAATCTGGCATTGGTTATGGATTCTTTAGGTCATTGTTTATCATGTCATTTCAAGTGTCTGAAACTTTTTATTCTCAGTAGTTCTTGTCTGGCATGTATGTTTGGCTTTTGGACCTTTAACTTGTATCTGATCTTCAATGGAAATTCCTGTTGTGATTAATCTTACTGGTTTCTCTCTCTTTTCTTAGAATATAATTAGATGTAAACTGGTAATTGTGTGCTAAATTCAGAGGTGGGAATAAATTACTTATACATTTTTTGTGGATTTTTTTAACAAATGCAAGGTGTAATTAACAAAAGTAAGTAATCCAACTATTAAAAGTTGAAGGAAATAGTTGCAGTTGTTCGAGTATGTGCAGTGCTAATTGGGACAGTACATGCGTGTCTATACATACTAGGGCTGTGCATTTGGATCTGATATCCGAAATCCGATCCGATCCATTCTATTTCGGATTTTCGGATTGGATACAAATTGTGTTTTATGAAATTTCGGATTTTCGGATTGGATTCGGATTGGTATGATTTTAATCCGATCCGATCCGATATCCGAAATTATATGTACCTATATAAATACACACTAAAATTTTAGGGTTATGCTTATTCATTTTTCACACACCCCCTCACTCACTTAGATTTTTCCGCCTCTCTTGCACCTCTCTTCTCTTCAGTGAAGACTAAAAGAGTCTCAATGACTCAAACTTCCGATTTTACTTTGATTTTATGTCTCTTTCTTCCGCCTCTCTTCTCTTCTCTTCTGTCTTTTATGTCTATTTCATGTTCTATTCTTCAACTTTTGATTTTATTTTGATTTTTTTGTTTGTTTTGGTAGATGGAAGATGAGATAGAGACACCGAATAAACTTTAAATTGTTGAAAATTTTGGTGACAATCCGATCCGACAATCCGAAAAATTATCTGATCCAAAGTTTAAAATCCGATCCAATCCAATGTTAATTCGGATCGGATTCGGATTGCCCTTTTCAGAATCCGAAATCTGAAATCCGAATCCGAAATAGGCTAAATCCGATCCAATCCGATCCGTGCACAGCCCTAATACATACTGCGCGTAAGTTGCATTACTTCAAGAGTTAGAGATTATAACAACTAAGCTATGTTTAATTTTCTTAATATTACACACAAAGTGTTGCCAGAAGAATACTTACAAGAGGTCGTAGGTAGATAGTCATCCTTTAATTCGGAATTTAGTCATACATACATGATATAATCATGCAATAAGATTACTAAGCTACTATAGCGATAAGGTTGTGAAACAAAAATTTTCTAACCAAACACAACGAAAGGTAGTCCAGTGCACTAAACTCCTATTATGCGCGGGGTTCGGGGAAGGGCTGGACCACACGGGTCTATCATACGCAACCTTGCCCTGTATTTCTGCAAGAAGCTGTTTCCACGGCTCGAACATGTGACCGTAATGACTCGACCAGTTGTTTTGAGTATTTGCATTCAGTTTGGCGGTTTGAGGTCATGAGTAGCTTCATACGGTGCATTATGACTAGCGTGTATCGCCAGTTTTGGTTTTCGAATGGTTCGAGATTGATTTGGAATAATAATCCTCAACTAGGAAGTTTTGAGTTGGAAGAGTTGACAAGTTTGACTTTTGTGTATTTAACTTCGGATCCGGATTTTGAAGGTCCCGTCAGGTCCGAATGGTAATTTAGGACTTGGGCGTCTGCTCGGATTTGCATTTGGATGTTTCTAGAAGGTTTTGGATCTAAATGGCAAAAGTTAGCAAGTTGAAGGTTTGAAAGTTCATAGGTTTGACCGGGAGTTGACTTCGATGTTATCGGATTCGAATTTTGGTTTTGGTAGTTGGAATATATTCGTTATGTCATTTAGAACTTGTGTGCAAAATTTTAGGTGATTCCGAGTTGTTTAGACGTGTTCGGCGTAACGTTGGAATTTGAAAATTTGAAATAGTTTATTAAGCTTGATTTGAGGTGTGATTCATAGTTTTGATGTTGTTATGGGTGATTTGAGGCATTGAGTATATGTTTTTGGACTTGTTATATGTTTGGATGGGGTCTCGAGAGGCTCTGGTGAGTTTCAGATCATTTCGGATGAGTTTTGTATTGGTGGTTTGCTGGTCTAAGGTAAATCGTGTTCGCGAAGACAGGTGAGTTGCAGAAAATTTGTTCTACGCGTTCGTGGATAGGGGGACGCGATTGCAAAAGTTCTGTGCATGAAGGTCTATGTGTTCGCGAAGATTGGGAGCTGGGAGCTCTGTGCGTCGCGTTCGCAATGTTTGGGCGTGCTGGTCAACACGTTCGCGAGCCGTTTGTCGCGCTCGTGGAGAAGGTTTCTGGTTGGAGGTAGTTTTGTGCTTCGCGAACGCGAGGCTTCTTCCGTGTTCGCGAAGGGTTCACCTGGGCAGTGCCATAAAGCACTCTATTTTCAGACTTTGAGTTATTTTATCACATTTTGAGTTGGGAGCTCGAAATTGGGCTATTTTGGAGAGAATTTTTACCACATGAATTAGGATAAGTACTTTTGACTCATATTAGATTATTTTACATTATTCAATCTTCAATTTTGGCATTTGATTTGATGAATCTAAAAGAGAAATTATGGATTTTTGTCTAAACTTTTCTAAAGTGAATAATTGAGTTTTGAACATCGATTTAGAGTCGAATTTGAGGTATGGTTGGACTCGTATTCGAATGAGTTGTCGGAATTTGTGAGTTTTGTCGGATTTCGTGGTGCGAGCCTGGGTTGACTTTTTGGTTGACTTTGAGTATATAATTAAAGATTCGGCGTTTATTATTTGGGTTTGCTTCCTATGGCATTATTTGATGATTTTGAGTTACTTTTGGCTGGTTTCTAGCCATTCGGAGGTCGATTTGTGCGGGGTGGCGCTTCTAGTGTATCAATTCGGCTTGTTTGAGGTAAGTATTTCGCCGCTTTATTGGGGTAATTTTACCTACAAAATGATATTTTTTGCTACATATAGGGGTGATGCATACACGAGGTGACAAACATATATGCATGTGCCAGGGTTTCCATGCTCGGGAGGGGGAAAGTATATACTTTCTTATGTTTTGACGAACTTGGTGATTCTTTGACTTGAGCTTTATTAATACTATGACTAATAAACTTAATTAACTGCGTTGGAAATCATGTTAGAACATGCGACATCTTAAAAAGGATTTAGCGTGTTATTTTCGAACTGTTTACATACTTAATTGACCATAGTATCATGAACATCGATTTATACCTGTTGTGTCATGCTATCTGAGCTTCTTTATCCGTAACAATAATTGAGGATTGGGGCTTTAGGGCTATGTTTGGCACGAGGGTGTTTCCGTGCGCTTAATATGATGTTGACACCATGAGTATTGCCGTGCGGTGTGAGATAAGATTGGCCGATTGGTTGTTACTGTGTGAAAAGAAATTGATTTTTCTGTTATGATTACTTGTTCGTTAAACACTTACATGCCCTTTACTCTGTTTTCTATTAATGCTTGTTGTCTTGTAGATTCCTTTCACTTTCGTGTTCCTTATGTAGTTACTTCTGTGTTTCATATTTGGCCTGATACTTTGTATCCATGTTTCTACCTTTTTTGTTACTATTACTCGTATGCTTTTACTTGATTTACTTTTGCTACATATTTTTCTTCGAATTTGTGCCTTTACTGTTATTTGCCCGTACATGTTACTTGCCTCTATTTGTTACATGATTTACTGATTAGTTGTCTTGACCTGTCATATGCCATCACTTACAACATGCCTTCCCATAATATATGTCTTTAATTGCTACGTGCCTTCACATGTTACATGATTTCGCTTCTTACACACCTCTAGTTGACATACATCATTTCTCAATTCATGCTCTACACATTTTTGCTTATTCTAATTTGGTGATTTTTTGATTGGTTGTGTGTTTATGCTTTATGGAAGTTTGGTTTAAAATGTGGGAGATTAGCGCTAGGGTGCTATGTTGCTCACCTTACATTGTTTGAGTTTGTATTCCTAGTTGAGTTCCGCGTATTAGTTTTCTTGGTGTTACGTAGTGAATTTCCGTGCTTGTTGTTATTGCATAGTTTCATATGAATCTATATTGATATATATGGGATCAGGTTGCACGCTGCAATAAATATTGATATTATTGTGTGGGATCGGGTTGCATGTTGCAACGGGGAAGACATATTTTATATTTATTGTTGTGGATCGGGTTGCACGCTGCAACGGAGAAGACGTGTTATATATATATATATATATATATATATATATATATATATATATATATATATATATATATAGAGAGAGAGAGAGAGAGAGAGAGAGAGATCTTGGAGTTGCGTAGTTGTGGAAGACGAAGCCTAGCATTAAAGACGTACCCACATTCCAAATTCAAGCTACCTTTTGCTCATGACAGGTTAGAATTTTAAATTATGTTTATGTAAACTTGAAACAGATATTGTCTTTATTCTTCATTCCAGTTTGAAAATCTAAATCATAATGGCTCATGACTTGTACTACCAGTCCTTAGGTTATTGTATACATATTTCAGCTAGTTCAATAGTGATTTCTTATTATTCTCGTTTGAATTGTGTTGACGGTTATTTTGCTTACCTAGTGGGTAAGGTTATGTGTCATCATGACTAAATGAATTTTAGATCGTGATAGTGACTTCCTGGTCATATTGTAATAACTTTACCTTAATAATAATGATGTGGGTACTTTGTTGTGGGAACCTGCACCATTTATTCATTTTGATTCATAGATAATGATATCCAGTCTTAGATTGTATGTATCCACTTACATTTGCTAATGTAGCTAGTAAGGCTTATTAACCACACTTAATCTGGCAATAATAATTTAAATTCTACTATCTAATAAGAGGGAGTTAGCAACTGGACGACATGCCTGCCTGGCAATTCTAGGGCGTTATGGTCATTTCATGAAAAAGGTGTAATATCATTGGTCCAAGTGGAATTTTACTGTGGTTGCTGAATTAAATTTTGAGTGCCCGGACTAAAAACGCCCCCTTGTGGATCCCACTCTGGTACTCTCAAGTCAGGAAAAGCACAGCTGCTTCTGCTTTGGCTATTCTATCTGAAAAGGTGGGTCCCACATTGAGACTCTGGTACTTCTCCTCTTTTTTGGCCTCTTCGTTGATACAGTAGATGTTTTTTTGGCTAATTCTTC